TCTGTCTGTGCCAGTGTGTGGTGTGTCTCCCGACTATCTGCCTGTGTGTCTATGGTGATAATTACTCCTGTTGTCGCAACCTATGCATGATGCGGGTCATATTGGACCTTGCCCAAGTGTCAACCCAATCACTCACGCGCACGCGTGCTGTGTACTTACTTGCTCGACAACCAGCCATTGCTGTTATTGAGGCACCCCCACTGCCAACGACAGAAAGCTTCGTGTTTCCAGATGGCTCCAAGTACATTGGCGGGTTTCAGATCTCGGAGCGCAAGTTTGTGGTGCGCGAAGGCAAAGGGTTGATGAAGTTTGCCAACGGAAGCATTTACGATGGCGAGTGGTCCAACGACAAAATGCACGGTCACGGTGCGTCTGCATCTGTGTCTGTGTCTGTGCCTGTGTGTGTTTGTGTATCTGTGCCTGTGTGTGTGTGTGTGTGTGTGTGTGTGCACGTGTGTGTCTGCGTGTATCTGTGTGTATGTGTATGTGGCTGTCCCTTGGCTGTCTCTTAGCTATTTGTCTGTCTGTCTGGCTCTGTCTGTCTGGCTCTGTCTGTCTGCCTGTCTGTCTCTGTTTGTCTGTCTGTCTGCGTGCGTGCATTCTTACTTGTGTCGTCATGGACTGTTCTTGCGTCCATGTCTGCGCGAATGTGTTCTATCTTCTTTCTTCACCTCGCCGGGCAATTATTGCCTCAAATTTTTGACACTCCTGCCAAGCAGCAAGAACACCCTGTTTCCCTTTCACTGTACCGGCTGCTCTGCTACACACGCTCACCTTACACGCTGGCTGACTTGTTTCTGTCGTTTACATTTGTTCGTTCCAATCGTAGGCAAGCTCACCTTGTCGGATGGGACACAGTATGAGGTGTGCGCGCGTGTGTATGTTTGTGTGTGTGTGTGTGTGTGTGTGCAATATATGTGCGTGTCTGTGTGTGTGTGTGCAATATGTGTGTGTGATATGTGCGTGTGTGCGTGTGATATGTGTGTGTGATGTGTGCTTGCCTGCAGCTTTGCATGCGAGCTTGCCTGTACCCTTTGTGCACACGTGTGCTCAGGCTGTTTGCTACCACTGACATGTAGGGAAGTTTTGAGAACGGGGAGTACAGCGGCAATGGCACCCTCACCCTAGCTAACGGAACCACATGCTCAAGCACATTTGCAAACAACACGTATGTCTTTTCTTCTTGCTGCTGTTGCTGCGTGCATGTGGACGTGTGTTGTTTCATCTACGTAGGTTTGTGTGTGTGTGTGTGTGTGTGTGTGTGTGTGTGTGTGTGTGTGCGTGTGTTGTATGATGGAGGGTTTGATGATGCGGAGCACACCGCTCTGCTGTGGTTTTGCGGGGAGTGGTCTGCCAACACCATCTCGTTCCCCCGCCCCCTCACTTCCACAACAACCCCTGCATCGCCACCCTCTCCACCATCCTCGTCGCGGTTACTGTGCTTTGGGTACAGACCTGTCGGAAACACGACGTTGGTGGATGCTGCCGGGAAGAAGTGGGTTGCCGTGTGGGGTGAGGGCACAGGCGCCTTCAAGCCGTGCTTGTGAGTGTGCGTCTGTGTCTGTGTCTGTGTGTGTCTGTATCTGTGTGTGTGTGTGTGTGTCGGTGTGTCGGTGTGTGTGTGTGTCTGTATCTGTGTGTGTGTGTGTGTCGGTGGTGGTGTGTCTCTTCATCTTTCTTGCCCAATTCCTGCGGCTGCTGCGGCTGCTGTGAACCCAGACACACACCTTTGCTGTGTACCAACTGTAACTGCATTCGCTCTTGTTCATAGCCCTCACTTCTTCTCGCTTCCATTCGTTCCGTAACTGCAATTCCTTCCCTTTGAAGAAACACTCACTCGATGGCTGTTTCGTTCACGCTGTTCATGCAAGCGCGTGGAGAAACGACACGGAGATGGGGGGGGGGGAAGAGAGGAGAGTACATACACACACACACACAACACACACACACACACAATTGCACACACAACACACACACACACAATTGCACACACACACACACACACACACACACACACACACACACACACACACACACACACACACACACACACACACACACTTTGCGGGTGCGTTGTCTGCAGTTCATCGCCACGCACATGAAAGTGTGATGACATCATCGCAGCGGGGCAAAACGTGCAAAACACGAATAATTCGCCTTCTTTGGGCTTCCAGCAGCGGAAAAGAACAACGCATCGCACCCAACACTGCATGCAAAGGAAGGACAGCGTCGCCCGTTCACGAACACCAGACCAGAATGAACACAGCCTTCACGAGCAGCAGCAGCACATTGCTGCGGCAGCCTCCCCCCCCCAAGTTGTTGTTGAGGAGATGGTATAATATTTTAGCACACAAACACACAACACAACACAAGGCCACCATCGCTACGCTACACACAAAGCGACACACACACACACACACACACACACACACACACACACACACACACACACACACACACACACACACACACACACACACACACACACACACACACACAC